CTACCCTGGTCCCAGAGGCTTTACTTACTCTTTCGTCTCTGTGGTTTTACGAGCCGCGAAGCGGCGAGAAAATTTGACGAGCCGCGAAGCGGTGAGAAGTAAGCGAAAGCCTCTGGTTGGAGACGGTTAGAAACTCACTTCCATGCAAAATAACCTGTCAATCAAACAGAATTAATCCCGTTAGCAAATAGCCAATCAAAACAGAGTTTCCCCGGTGACTTTCTTTATGCTTAGGGAGGGGAGGTCTAAACATTAAGACTACTTTAGGGGGGATAGCACAGTTTTGTTATTACACACACACCTGCTGCATAGGAATGTGACAGATCAGTGTTTACATCCTCGGACGAATGTCAAATACGATTCAAAATAATACTACTCCTTCAAAAAGTGCTAGGTCTCATCCATCGAAAATATGCCGTCATTGCAGAAGTAATATCGCTTGCGGAAGACCAAGAATCCATCTTTTTGGACCGAAATCGCGTAACGAAAATCTGCTCAAACGACTGTCTGACGTTCTTGATGCGGAGGTTCAGCCTCACGACAGCCTTTCAGAATATTTTTGTCAAAGTTGCTATCGAGAATTCTTGAAGGTTGAGAAAGTACTGCTTCAGAGCAAACAGATTGAAGCTTTTAGAGGCAAACATAAAACTTCCATCGAAGAACAACTTACTAAAGGTGTTCAAGGTGGCGAAGGCCGACAAAAGCGATGTAACCGAAATTCTCCTGCTTCAGTAGAACGTCAGAAGAGGCCAAAACCGCTCGGTCCTGCAAATGAGTCCAAGAAGAATTGTATACCGAGTGCTCCAAGAATATTACTTCCAAAAACGGATGACTTTGCCAGTAATAGTCATGAAACGATAGAAGGAGTAACGCGAATTGAAGAGGGACCAATTCTTGACACTTGCAAAACAGAGGTGAGAAATATTCTCGTTGTCGAGTTAAGTCAGGAGCCATTAGTAATGGGCTCCTGGTTAGGTGTAGTATTCTTTAAAATTTTCCTTCTTCTTGGTAAACGCAATGGAATTTTTTAATTGGGATAGCTTAAATTTAAAAGACCAAATTACTATTCACGGAGGCCAAAATAGATTTTTTTAGTGTCTTTAATTTCTGCCTTTTTAAGTATGAGCTATTCCATTTTTTTTTTCAGGTCCATTTAAGCTACCCTTCAAAGAAAGTAATCAAAGTTATCAAAGATGCTACAGATGCTAAAATTATTCGACAACTGGCTGACAGCTCATACAATTATGCAGCAAATGCTATTTGGAGCAAAATCCAGCTAAAAAATGAACTGGCCAAGAAAATTGAAAAGGAAATTGACCAAGAATGCCAGAATATCTGCAGTACAAAACAACCCTCCATGCTGAGAAAATGTGATCCCAATAGTTTGATGAAGTTTTCAGATAAGGAATTTGAAGAGGAGCTTCAACTTCGTACACCGGTGTTCCACACATTTCTTAAGTCAGCTATGGGTGTTGAAAAACAGAAAAAAGTTAAGTCCTGTGCACCTGCAATGACAATGGCTGCTTCAGTCCTTTTGAAGCACAGGTGCCAAAGCATGTCAGCTCATGCTTACAGATATTCAGTTGGGGTCCTCTGGCACAGTGGTGCTAAAAAGCAGGTGCAACATAAATTACAAAGTCACATATAGTGTTAGCTCAGCCTAGTCCTAGGGCATTCCTATCTGAGAAGCACGTGAAGCACTGGGACTGTGAAAGAATAAAATATTGAGGAACAGGATAAACCTGGGGACTAGGCTGGTTTTTAGCTGATGAGATTAATTTTGCATTTGTTGTTGTTGTTGTTTTCATTATTTTCTCTCTTAGAGCACAAGCACTTAAAAAGTGTGCAACATAGTACTAAATAATTGATAAAGTATTTTTCATCAGCATGATTTTCTACAATATAGTGCAAATTGTTGAACAGTTTTAGTGTTTGCACTCTAGTGTTACTGATGAGTATTATTATTAATACAATTTTATTATTAATTTCAAATGAAAGTAAATTTGGACTTGAATTATCCAAAAAACTTCATGAAGCAAGGTTTTACTTAAGTTGGACTTAAGTAAGACTGCAATTAATTAGTATCGTATTAATAATTATGACTTCTTTTGAACAGGGTTTCCTCAGAAGCAACAGGTGGGATGTCTCTGCTAGCCATTCTAGCACTTTAAGCAAACTGGATGAAATGGGTCTGTTATCTGGGAGAGAATTGAAAGACTGGAAAGAAAATCTAGAGAGACATGCTTACATAAAAAAGGCATTATTAGAGGCAAGAAAGCACTGCCACAAGCCAGAGGAATGTATACCACAGGGATTTGTTACCACTGATGTCAGTGACCTCAATTTGTGCTTTCCAGCCCTTTCAATGTCTATGGACATTGACTTACCAAGCAGTGTCAATAATAATCCTCTTCATCACAATAACATGCATGTGGAACTTGAAATCGATATGGTAAATGATGGCAAGGACAATATGAAAGAAATCTTAATGAGGCAAGGCTGTGTTGAAACCTCAATATATAACATGTTTGAACTTATTGAGAAGGAGTTCCCTGACCTGAACTATGGTGACATTGATACATCTATGATTGATAAAGTACTAAAGATCCATGAAAGTCAGAAGCCAAAGAGTTATCAGATCATAGGTGACAATATTGACTTGTATGCAAAGGTAAAACACATGAGCTCTGAAAACAAGAACAAAAGCATTCATTGGTTTGCAATGAATGCTGTTCAAGATCGTATCACTAGGTTGGACCTACCGGATGATATGCCCATTAAAGATATCCTCGAAATGGAAAATATTGAGTTTTTACCATCATCAATTGATAATGAGAAATTTCTGCATGACTTAATTCCCTTATGTGCACGAATTGGCATTGAAAAGTTACCTGCACTGAAATGTTTCAAAGATGTCCAGATCAACCACATTCCTCACCAGTACTCAAAAGAAGCAAAAACAAAGTCAACTCAGGTACATAATGTAATATTTAGCTCTTGTAAGTTTGTCAGGGAGAGGTGATAGACAGATGTGGGAATTAATGTTCAATAAAATAAGACCAAAAAATAAATGGATAAACTAAGTAAAAAGGAAATAAAACAACCATTCAATAAAATAGCTGTAATTCTTTCAAGGTACTGCTTTGGGATCAAAAAGACTGGAAACTTGATATGATAAATGCAGTATCTGCTGCAGATACTGCATTTATCATGTGATGGTAACATGCTACTGTGATATCACCCATAGCTCTTGTCTAATCAGAAGTTAATAGTAAAATGTATAGTAAATTTTGTTAAATATGATATTAAATCTACTGTAATGCAATCTTTTTTCAAAAGTCCCTTCCGATATTCTTATAAATACACCCAAAGTCCCTCAACTGTGTATAGCAAAATTGTTGATTGATTTGATTGAATTTCAGGAACCTCTTGGTATTGTTTTCAAGAATGAAAACTTGAATGATGAAATGATTGACATCATCCAAACCATCCATGAAAAATTCCTTCCTGTAACATTACAAGAAAAACTCACAGAAGATGGGGATACCATCCTAGCAACTGAGGTCGCAGAGAAAATTTTCTTCGGTGGTGACCAGCTCACAGATGAAAGAGCCCGAAATTCTGTGTATGCCAGAAGTGACGGTGATTCAGAGTTTGAAAGACTGGAGGGCCTTATCCCTAAAGTAGAAGACTGGCATGCCATCAGACTTGTGTATCAGGTACATAGAAATCAAACTCTGCCATGAAAGTTATGGCCTTCAAGGCTTCTGGAGTACTCATGCTCTAATAGTATTTATCAAATTCCCTCGAATGTTTGCCGGTTAAATATTAACCAAAAACTTGCTTCTATTAAAATTTACATTTCGAAAAAGTAAAATTTATTTTTTTCCATAATTTTGTAAAAGTATTGTATTCATTTCGTAGTTATATTTAAGTTATATTTAATTTCAAGTAGACAAATGAAGGTTTCATTTTACTGCTAAAGGCAATGTTTATTAATTTTATGTTCCAGATAATGTATGATATACTATATCATCCAGGCTCTGCCAACGATGTGGGCAGCATGTGCTCGAACATGAATGTCACCAATAACATCAATGCAAAAACAACAAATGTCCTTGACAATTTTAACTACTGTAAAGATTATGTTAAAGTTGAGACAGAAGCATTTGTTGTGGCTGGTATCATGTCTCATTTCAACATGGAATCCTTAAATTGCAACATAACCATCCCCAATTATGTTGAAAATGCGACAAAGGAAGTTCGAATTATATGGCTGCACAAGCAAATGAAAGAAATGCTGGAAAGATTCATTATGACAAAGCAAAAAGAGGAGCTGGACCAACTACTTCAAGAAGTCCATCAAGCCAATCAACCTCGTCAGAAAAAAGTGTATTTGTGTCGATGCTGCAACAAGTCATACGTGTACAAGAAGTGCCTTGATCGCCATGAAAAAAAAGAGCATCCTGAATTTGAACAGCCAACAGAATTAAAGACAACAGAAATACACGATTCCAAGTCAATAAGAGAGAAAGACGACTGCATCTACAACTATGCTTGTGCACGATTGGGTTTGGGATTACTGCTTCACAATTTTGATGATTCGGTTAGGGAAGGAGATGGTGAGAGAACATTACGGTGCTGGAAGTTTTTAATGTTGATATACAAGTGCTACAACCATACAAAGTATGCAGTGGCTGCTTTACAGCTATTGGCAAATGTCAATGCCATGCTGTCTCCAAGAAAGGCTCACTCCCTTGTGTGGAACAGGACCATAAATAATAAAGGAGGAAAAGCAAAGAACATATCCTTGGATTTACGAATGGAACATATTGTTCACCTGCACAAAGAGATGCTTGCCAACCTTGGAGTTAACCTCACCCCTGAATGTGCTGCTAGAAGTAGTAATGCTGTAAAACCTGTGGAAGAACTATTGAGAACAGTTGATAATGAACTTTTGTGCAAGAGATCATCTGGAAAGCACACAGTCACTCGATCTCAAAATGATTTTGAGCTCATTGTTAATGAGCTCCACAGTAAAGGAAGGGTGTTCCAGTGGAGGCCTGAGGAACACAGGCATTATCAATGTTTTCCCGAATTTAAGAAAACGCTGGTGAACAACCTTAATTACAAAACACTCAACAAATGGATTAATGAGCACAAGAAGCAGTGGTCCAAAAGAGGAAATTGAAGAGCAAGCTGAACAGATTAAAGATTTTTGATGATTTTTCCTCAGTATTGTTTTCAAAAGCTGTAGATTTTCTTCAACGTTTAACAAAGGAATTATTTAAATAATTTAATGAAGACCTTGTATTTTTATACCAAAGGCATAGACATTCATTGAATTGCACTTGTTTATGGTGAGGTTACTTCAGCAAGACCAGTATAACTTTAACAGCTAAAACACCAAAAACTTCCAAATGCATTAAATTAAAAGAATAGCGTGAGTTTTGCATTAATGTTCTGGTTGCTTGTGAATGTTTTTATGGTTGAACATTATTTGTTATTGCATAATTCTATATAGGTAGGTTTACAGAAAAGATTTATTGCCACATGTGAATGCATTACAACCTGCATAGTTACTGTGTAATAGTTTATAAGCCCCTTTTGTCTGTACAACAAGAATAATATTCTAACAGTTAAAAAGGTTTTGTTATATTGTCAAGACACTCTCATGTTGACAAAAAATACGTGGGTAGTTGAGTACCCCCAAGTTCAAAGAAGTAAAACTGTAACTCTTGAATCAGTCTAGTTAAATAACAAAACTTAAACATCATGGGTCTATAGAGACAAAACTAGCTATACTTAATGTTTTAACAGAACTTTATCCTAAAGTCTAATGGTCAGTATGTCATGTGTTTTAAACATGGCTTAAAATAAAAAACAACAACTTCAAACTAATTGTTGTTGTTATTGTTTTGCTGTTTTGTTTTTGTCTTGTTTTGTTTTTTTAATTTAATTGCTATTTGGTTGGAATCTTTTTGTCCTCATGAGACAAGACCATATCACCGACAATTTTGAATCACATCAACAATAGTTGTTTTGCATCATACTCTTCTCTCTATACAGTTAAATTCCATCTGAAAAATATATTCTACCGCGTGGAAAGCATAATAGAAATGAGATATATGCAAAATACTTGTAGTTATGTCATGCCTGTGAAAAACAGCAATAGAGTGGTAAAGTGTGACGTCACAAAAAGATTTTTGTCCGAAATTCTTGAATTGTTTCAGGAAATCGAACATGATGCCCTTTCAGAATATGCAAGCAGATTTTGAAAATTCTCAAAGTTTTATTTTATGATTTCATCACTTTACTACTCTATACAATATGATAAACTAAGTTGAAAGTAGAGCTTTTGTCTAGTTTGGCTAATTATAATATTGTTCATAGTAAATGCAATGTACTATCTTCAATTTGAGTTCTCCTCTCCTGCGGATGTACCACTAGACTGGGATTCATCAAAGGTTTTTCCATATGTAAGGTCATACCTTTCCTGAGGCACGTCTGGCTCCACTTGCTGTACTAAGTCAATTTCTTGAAAGCTTACATCCTCAAAGATTTCTGCAAACATTTGTAGGATAACAACTGCATGGGACTTCTTTAGCACAGGTAGATAAGTTACAATGTCATCGAGAGTAAAGATGTATTTACAGTGTTCAAGGACAGCTTTCACCAGAGACTTGCTAAAACCAGCTGTACATTCTGGGTTAAGGTAGGTACAGAGCCCTTTTTGCTCAGCTTGCATTTCTTCTATGAGGAGATCTTGCAAGAGCTTCCTGTCCTCTTTTGAGACAGTCCTCTTCTTTCTATCTTGCCTTGCAGTGCCATTTGTTTTGACAAATGATGGAATTGGTATTGGGCATTTCTCTTCGCAGTTGCAATCACTGTGACAGTTAACACAACACTTATGAGACCCACATTCAAATGTCAATTCATTAATTTGTTGAAATTCTGATGCAATTTGTTTTCTCAAACAAGTTTTAGTATTGTCACAATAACTCAAAATGGCATCCTCGCATTTCTTTAAATGGTGTCCATTATAAAGTAGGACAGCAAGAGCAGGTTGGCCATCTCGTCCTGCTCTTCCAATTTGCTGAACAAATTCTTCTACTTCTCTTGGAGGTCCATAATTGATCACCGTCCTTACATTGGGGAAGTTGACGCCCATACCCAATGCATTTGTGGCAAAAACAACTCTGCACACTCCATCTTTTTCATATAAAGAGTTCAAAATTCTCTCCTTTTGTTTAGCCAGTGTATTGTGGTGAAACATTCCAAATAATAAATTTGTGGACTCTTTTTCACAACCAGGAGGGAAATAACTTTCATCACCAAGCTCTGATTTAAACAACTGAAATAACTGCCCACAATCCTTGATGGACTTGCAATAGATAATTGTCCTCTCTAGTGCATTTTTTTGATCTCTTAGCCTTTCAATCAGCCATGCAAAGGTTTTCCAAATCTTAGTAGAAACAATCAACTTTGTAAGGTATATGTTTGCCCTGTATGGACTTACATAGATCAGTTCAAAGTCATCTCTCAAGGCAAGTGCATTTATAACAGCAGTTTGAGTTTCTAGCTTTGCTGTCGCAGTCAAAGATAGCATTGGAGTACCATTAGGTCCAAGGGATCGCAATTCGCCAATTCTTGAAAAGCATTTCCTAAAGGCAGCTTTCTGTGCTTTGTCAAATCCCCTGAAACAAGTTAAATGTTATAGGAAGTTTTAGAGAATTTTGTGAAATGAAGCAAGGCAGCACTATGATGGATTTGCATTTGCGCATTCGTGAATGTAATCATAATTATTAATAGTTCAGGTATTCATTCAAACACTCGTTGTATACAAAAATAACACAAATATCTCATGAAATATTCACCCGTGTTCCATCAACATATATACCAGAAATGACAAGACTAAGTTTTATAGTGTACCTACCATTTCGGTACGACGTGGGCTTCGTCTGTAACAAACGTTAACAGTCTGCTTTGGTAGTCTTTGCTAAGCAGCATCTGCCTCCACTTCTCATTTTGAAGAAAGCTTTCGGGACTGCCAAACACAAACGAATACTCTCCTCGAAGAATGGCATCATCATTGACTTCGTCGCCGCTCACAGCCGCCGCTGTTAGACCATAGCTTTGTAGTTCGCGAATGTGCGATTCTATCAATGATTTAAGAGGACAAATGACCATAATTATTGGATTCGTTGGATAAGAATATCCTCTTACTGACAACTGACGGCAAAGATCAGGCAGAAGCTGAAAAATCAATGACTTTCCATGTCCTGTTGGCAATATGGCGAAGACGTCTTTCCTGTTAATGAGGCCGTGAAGTGCTTTCTTTTGCTCTTCTGACAGGGCTTGGATGTTCTGAAAGCGGTATTCGAGAGCTATAGACACTATCTCTCCGAAAACAGCCTCCGAAACGAATTGATTCATGAAGAAATTTTAGAAAATGCAGAATACTTGAAAATACAACAAATGTTGGCTCAGAGTGACAAACTTGAAAAAAAAAAACCCATCCCTACCCTGGTCAAAAGTCAAATGGAAGTAAAAACTCCCTAACCCCTCACCCCTATGACAAACTCTTTTAAACCAATCACAGGCGAGGTGAAAAATTGACCAATCAATGAGCCAGAACAAATTTGTGAAATCTTTAATTTGATTGGCGCGGTGAGATCAGTAAATTAACCGTCTCCAACCAGAGGCTTTCGCTTACTTCTCACCGCTTCGCGGCTCGTCAAATTTTCTCGCCGCTTCGCGGCTCGTAAAACCACAGAGACGAAAGAGTAAGTAAAGCCTCTGGGACCAGGGTAAGACGGATAGTAAATGCGTACCTAAGAAGAGAAGCAAAGAAAATCAATAATATTCTCACATACTTCTAGCAACATACAATAACTGCAAACTTCTCAGCTCCGTAGGTGATGCATTCCGAGGTTGCCCTACGAATACAGCTTCTTCGTCCCTTTCAGCACTATCATTAGCCGTGGAAATAATCTTTCTTTTACTTTTGGGGTTGCGAACTCGTTCAAATGTTTTCGTCGCTGGTGAACTCGGTGTTCTTGCGGTTCTCGGTGATTTACAAGGAGAATCTTTCGCACATCTCTTGCGTCGCGTCAATTCTCCGACATCTATGTTTACTACTTTGTATTTGTTCCTGAACTCTTGTAATTCTCCGAAAACAGCCTCCGAAACGAATTGATTCATGAAGAAATTTTAGAAAATGCAGAATACTTGAAAATACAACAAATGTTGGCTCAGAGTGACAAACTTGAAAAAAAAAAACCCATCCCTACCCTGGTCAAAAGTCAAATGGAAGTAAAAACTCCCTAACCCCTCACCCCTATGACAAACTCTTTTAAACCAATCACAGGCGAGGTGAAAAATTGACCAATCAATGAGCCAGAACAAATTTGTGAAATCTTTAATTTGATTGGCGCGGTGAGATCAGTAAATTAACCGTCTCCAACCAGAGGCTTTCGCTTACTTCTCACCGCTTCGCGGCTCGTCAAATTTTCTCGCCGCTTCGCGGCTCGTAAAACCACAGAGACGAAAGAGTAAGTAAAGCCTCTGGGACCAGGGTAA